GCCAAGCTCTGGTATCTGGGGCCGATTCCAAATTCCCAAATACAAAGGCGGGAAGCAAAGGGACTGCGGTGGAATGGGGGGGGTGGGAAAACCACCCACGGAGCGATCGGCCACAGGAACAAGGGAGGAGCCAAGGGGAGCGGGGGGGGGACCTTCGTGTCGGTTTGACTGCGCAATTGCAACTCCCTCCCCAAGGCAGGCCCCCCCATGACGATTCAGGGGGGGGAAGGCAATTCTCAACGGGACACATATTTTTAATCGGAACAACCTGCCATCCCGTCCTGGCCCCGCGGGGCCCAGGCGTCTTACTGCCCGTGTCCTGCACGGTGTGGCAGACCCCTGGGCCGGGCACCATCCTGACATAACCATACATGGCACGTCATCTTGGCCGGATCTTCTGTGAGACACTTGGGAATTGGGATGGGGGGGGTGGCCCAGGAGCAGTGGGATACAGGAACGCCAGATAGAAGTGCAACTCCGTGCCTTGGCCCAGACATTAAATGCCACTTTATGGGTAAACCTTACATGGGGATTATCGATCTGGCTTTCAGACGGAACCTCGATTCCATCAGAAGCTGCGGGCAGGTGGGGTGGGGGGGGGGGGGGTAAAAAGTAAAAAGCACAAGTGGATCCAAGAGCCAACTGCAGCCTCTTTAAACACCCCCCCCCTCCCAAAGACTGGGCTGGACTCTGGTGGTCCGACCCAAACCACCCACCCAGCCAATTGAGAAAACAGTTTCTGAGCTTGCCCCAGGTCCACCTCTGTCAGGAACATCCAGACCCTGACGACAGCACCGCTAACAGAATCCATCGGAACCGACCCGAGCCCTTATGGTAAACACAGGCAGCGTTTAGCGGATGGGCCCGCCGGGGCTGTCAGTGGTACACCAGGTGTGAGAAGACACCAGGGCGGCAGCCCAGCTGCTGGTGCGAGGCGAAGCTGTGCTGCGGGTTCCTGCGGCCGCAGGCATCCTTGGCGTAAAGACTGACGCAGGTGCCACATGACACCTTGGAGCAGCTGATGCATGTGTGGGAGGCGCCAGGTTTGTTGCAGAAGCTGCACCGCAGGACGCCGGCCCCCATGCAGTTGACTGAGGTGACGGCGCTGGCTGACTTGCCCAGATATGGCCGAGGGGCGATGGGGGGCTTCTCTGGACCGTCTGGGGGCCGGGGGCAGGGCTTGGGGTAGTCCTGGGGGGCCTCGGGCCTGCAGGAGGCACACAGGAGGCCCTCTCCCTGCAGAGCTGCAACTGGGGCCCCGCACCAGCGCCCGCAGCCCCGGCACTTGACTCCCTGGCCCCTGGGCCCCCAGAAGTCACGGGAAGAGGGGTGGCGTGGGGGGGGCGGTGGTGCCAGTGGCTGCCGGGGGGGGTGCCCACGCTCTATGTATAGGTCCGGCTCATCCAGGGAACTCAGGGTGAAGGCCTGCGGGGGCTCGGCAGCGACAGGAGGGGTGCGTGGCTGTAGGCGGGGCCGACCAGGCAGAGGGCCAATCTGAGGAGGCTCCACGGGGCCCATGTCCGGCTCCAAGCAGCGTGGCTCTTTGCGCAGGCTCAGCGAGGCACGCAGCACCGGCCGGGGGGGAGGCTGCCAGCTGCCACTGCTGTCTGCCACGTCCACAGAGCGGGATGTGCGGGCGCTCCTGCGCAGGTACGCCCGCTCCCTGTCGCGATCCCGCTCTGCATTGGCCCGCCAGCGGCCTTCCTCTCTGCCGACGCCCCCACGCCTCACCTCCAGCTCCTCCACGCCCCCACGCCTCACCTCCAACTCCTCCACGCCCCCACGCCTCACCTCCAGGGCCTCCGCCTCCGCGTTGGCGCCCCCGCGCCGGGCCGCTGCCCCGCTTAGCAAGCGGCACTCTGCGCGCGCCAGGAAGAGCTCAAAGGCCAGCCGGCGCAGATGAGCCATGCCCCCAGGGGGGTCCCCAGCACGCAGCCGCAATTCCTGCTCCCGTGTGTAGCCCATGGAGTGCAGCAGGGAGCGCAGGTCCGCGTCACATAGAGCTTCCTTTAGGTAATACACGTAGGGGCCTGTGAAGGTCTGGAAAGAAGAGCAGGGGGAGGGGGGAACATCAGAGATAAATATCTGCAGGCAAACCTGAACATCTCAGCGTGCAGGAGGGACCGGGCAGAACCAAATGGACCCGGCACACAGGTGTGTGATGTCATAAATGTCACTGTAGGGAGATGGGGGATGGACACGATATATAGCCAAACACACACTTATGGGCAACAAAAGAAGAGTCAAAGCTTAATGTAGTGCAATTTGGGTTTCACCCATTTTTTTGCCCGGAAGTGTAGATATCAGCCAACATCAAGACATCGGCATCAGTCCGATGTGTCAGTCTTCTAAACACTTTCTAAACTTTATCAATATTCCAGGCTAAAGACACAACTACTAAAATAATGGAGATCACTGCATTGGAGATGACTGCACTGGAGATCACTGCATTGGAGATGACTGCACTGGAGAATCAGCCAATTTCCATAGAGAAGGACAAGGGATTTCATGGGCTCATTCACCACTTAGAAGAGGTCTCAAAGTACCGGCCCATAAGATGATTATAATTCACTATCTAATCTGGCTCGCAGATGGATATTTCATTTTCTGCAGAATAAAAAAACGATGCAACGTCTTTCCGCTAATCTGTGCTGGCACCCCCATCAGGCAGCACTACCTTTGACGTGCTTTATTTTTTGTACAGTTCAGTAGTTGGCCTTTTGACAATTACACTGGCACGTTCTCCCTGTTTAATAGTAACAAAAACATTGAATGTTCCGAAATTCTACTTTGTTTGTATGCCATTAATACTGGTGATATTTGTGATTTCTTTTCAGTCAAGCTAAAAAAAAATAGTTTTAAATTATATTAAAAAAATTGAATGATCAAAACTAATCGCAACAGAAATAAATGATTTCCAGTGCATCCAATCGTTCCCTTCCTATGCTGTTCATCCAATCACGGCCAAATCTGCTGTGCATTGTCTACTGATGGGTCCGACCAAGAGCTGTTCAAATGGTGAAATGGTATGGCCAGTGTAGTCTAATGAATTAAGACGACAAAGCCACCAAACAGGATGTGGGGCCATATCTCCGAAAAGCTTTGAGTTGTCAAAACCAAATTTGGCCGTTGGGCTTAGGGCCCAATTCTGGGGAAGGTCAAAAGAAAATATGTCATTAGACCACTAGGGGGCGCTGCAATAAGCAAAAATGCCTTAATTGTTGAACAGTTTGACGTAGAAGAACACAATTGGAGGGGCCCAGTCTGATACATTGGGATTTTCATGTCCACCTAATAGTTGCAGCCGCCATATTGGATTTAATTGAAAATTTAGGAATTACCTACTCCCAAAATACACCCCAGCTTCATCACATGGATCTGATGGGATTCACTCACATCTGACCATCCATCAGAGACGACCCTTGTCCAAACATGACATACCCCCACTGCTGCCTGTCTCTCTGATGCTCATTAATATTTAGTAAATGCTTTTATCCAAAGCGACATTTTGGAGAAAGCAGGATCAGCCAGTCCCCGGAGCGATCGGGGTTTAAAGGTCCAATGGTGAAATCTCCCTGCTGAACCTGGGATTGACACATTCTGATCACAGGCACAGCACCCTAACCTGCGGAGCCACACCGCCCCCATAACACCTCCATATTTGATGGTGTTTCGAGAGCCAGCAGCCACTCTCAGGACTGCTGTCATCTAACCCTGGCAAGTACTCATTTTAATGACTTAAATGTGTGTGGGGGTGGGTCGCATTTGGAGCGGCGGACCCGCCCCGCGTCCGGAGCAGCACATGAGGCTGTCAGTCCAGCTCTTCTCCTTTTCCCACCATCTGTCGTGTGAATAGCAGGTTTCTCTTCTCCGGCAGGATACATTTATCATATCGACCATGACTCACGAAGTGCACGGTTAACAGGTGGCACACTGCTACACATATACGCATGCCTACCGATTCTCACGCTACATCACCCCCCTCCCGGTAAAGGGACAGGCTTATGCTTCGCGGTTAGCGGTCGGTCGCACACCTTGATGCAGCGGAACTCCTTCTTCCAGGGGAAGAGCAGCAGGTTGACGCAGACGGTCTCCAGCATGCCGAAAGCAGTCTCCAGCCCCCGCAGGCCCGTCCCCCTGCGGCCACTCAGCGCGTTCTCTGCCACCTGGTAGAAGGGCAGCACACGGAAGCGCTGGGCTGGCTCCGGGAGGCGCGTCGCCAGCAAGGTCCCCGCCTCCCCCAGCAGCTGCGGCTCCCCCGGCCTGCCGGCCCCCTCCTCCCCGCCGTCCTCCTGCAGTCCCTCGTCCAGCCGCCGTTCCAGCCACTGCACATACTTCTGGAAGAGCCCCTCCCTCAACTTGACTTCCATGGGCGGCAGGTGGCACCGGAGTCTCGCTCATTCCCCCCGGGACCTCACCGCAAATCCCCCTGCTGGCCGAAGCACCAAGCCTGGGTTCACTGGATTTTGGGCTCAGGGTCAGTGGATGATGCTGGAGCAGCCGCTCAGCACGACGTCCAAGCTGGGGGACCCCAAGAGAGACAACACATTAGCCATGAGGTCCCTTTTGGACCAAGAAAAAGACAAGCATTTAAAGGGCTCAAGGAGCTCTAATCAATCGAGTAATATGCCCTTGATACTTAGCTCACAGCTATCATGCAATCAAACATTATGCGTTGAGGAAATCAATGCCCTGCTATATACTGAACTAAAATGCAAAGTGTGTAGACACACACAGTTGCCTCCCACCTGCTGTGGGAAGGAGAAGAGCACACACACACCCACTGCCGCTGACATGTTGTGTGTGGGCTGGAGACTCGTGGTAATTATCCTCTCACAAACTTAAAGCTCGGTGTCTCTTTTAAACCTTTAGGGAGACTGGGTATCAGCTTATCGCTTCAAGCACGGCCGGATGCGAGCTGTTGGTCTCGGATGGTCACAACGTTGCCCGCATAGTGATCCGCATGTTTTTACACACGCCTACATAGTGAGCTGGCGATCGCCGGATCTGCGAGAGACAGCGGCGGAGTGGTGTCCTCCAGGGCCCGAGTGACAGATGGCATCCCCCCGCAGCACACAAAGAAGAAATACGAGGACCGAAAAGTGCCGGGCGTATAGACAGGACAGTGAACTATATCTAGCGAGCGCGACTTCCCAAATAAACCAGCAAACCTAATACAAGATAAAACGACCGCCAGCTTCACAGAATTACAAGGCATCTTTTTTAAATTAGCAAGAAGAGTTTCATTTTCTTATATTCTTGGTCATGCAATGACCATACGTTTGTTACTGCATCTCACTGACACCCAGCATCAAGCTGGAATGCCTCCGTTTCCCGTCCCCGCACAGCAGCTTCCTTCCCCGGTCCCTGCACATTAGCGTTCATTTAACATCAATATCAGACCGACGGGAGATCGGAGATACACCGAGGTCATGACATCGTGGTAATAATTCGCCCTGCGTTCATGTTTGACTCAGGCTACTCGTCCGAACAACGAAAAAGACAAATAAAACTCACTGTACAGCAGCGATCCTGTGCCCTGCGCGCGGTGCCCGGTCCGCCGCGCGCGGTGCTGCGCCGACCTCGCGCTACAAACAGGTGTACCCGTAGGCGCCGCTCCGTCTCATGCGCGCCGCACGCAACGCAGCGCGCCGTCTCGCTCAGCCCAGTGCCTTCGCATCCTGCTGGAAATTCCCCCGGTGCTGGCGCGCATGCGCACGAATGTGCCCTGCGTGCACGTTTGCGCCGCGGATGCCCGCTCAGGTGCGCGCTCGCCGCTTCGGGAGCTACTTTACTGATACAATGTGAACTTTGTCCAAGAAAAACAAATATACTAACACTACAGCTACCGTAGGTTTAGGAGAAATAAAAAGTACAAAAATTAACTCCAGTTCACAGAACGAATCGCTTGTAAATATACGTAGCGACATAATACATATGCGACGTGTATTGTTTTAATAAGCAAACCTTCAACACAGAAATAAATTGCTTTGGCTTATTCATTCATCCTTCTGGCTACACAAAAACGTAGAGGAACCAGTTCGCCCATACCTGACAGCATTCCCGGGATCCGGCGAGGCTTCTTTATCAGCACGGAGGAATGTCTCCATGGGTTCAGGCATTAACAGGAAATCCAAAGTCCTTAAATAAGAAAAATGACTTCCCCATTTTAAAATTTCAGGATAACGAGGGTGAAAGGAAACACAACTTCTAACTCACTTTTTTTTGCCCAGCGCATTTGATTTTGTACGCAGATTCACTGGCCCTATAAAACTAACAGAAATAGTGGAGTAATTTTGCGTAAAATGCCTCTCGACAAAACATCAGACGAAATTATCCAGTTATGCCGAGTTAGTAGATAAGCAAGTTTCAAAAGAAGGTACAGAGATAGTAGTGTGAGTTTCTTTCGGGATATAGGAAATGCGTTTTTCTTTATGCATATATAATTCCGGCTTCACCATCTTTGCTTCTTCTATAGCCTAATTACTTCTACGAGGTTTTCATTTTCTTTCTTCTGAAGTTCTGGGGATTCCAGGCTTAATAAAAAACGTCGAGAAATCGCAGAGTGGCTGTCAGGCAACATCAGAGGACACGCCTGTTCTGTAACACATTAGTTTCTCATGCTTGATAAGATTCAGAGTTACTATCAGTTCAATTATCAAGCATCTGCCATGTTTGTCATCAAATACAGCGCCAACGACCAGATTAAAGCCATTACACGATGGCATCGCCTCGACCTGATCGGGGCAGTATTTAATCTGCCCATCATCGGTGGTTCCTGTTCCTAAAATCATGTTCCTGAAACATTTTTTCTGATCTGATAATTTGCGTGTTCAACATGAAATTGTCATTTACTTTCAACAGTACATTTACCTTTCTTCGTGCATCAAATAGCAAAATCAAAGTACACTGGAAATGTATTTTTAAAACTTGAACTTCTCGTCATAAGACAATATAGCCAGTATAACTGAATTGCTGTCGTTGCTGATGCGAGACGCTGATAAAGGATTGCGATTACGCAACTCGTCTTTTGAAGGCTGTATTATTATGTGCAACCTGCCGTTCAAGTTTGCTTTGGGGTAGCCTACTGGGTCCTGGCAGGAACTTCCTGTTATGCAAACTATGGTGGTGGGAAATGTGAAAAAGAGAATGTCAGCTGCCCTAGGATGTGTTGGGTCTGTGCAGTAGTGCCTGCCATTTGTTTGAGGCTGGTTGCAGCCTGTGCATAGCTAAAGCGTAGATGAGCGCGCTCGGAGGTCAGGTGACCAGCGGGGCGGACCAGCGCGTCAAAAGCAGGTAAGCAGTAAAATCACTGCAAATACATTCAGTTATTCTGTAGTACTTACAGGTTATGTTATATGTTTTACCATCATATAATTAACAGGTTACATTTAGACAGATGTTAGGCTGTGCTATATATTATTTTACATTGTTTATGCATATCTATAAACCAAAGCGTGTGTTTGTTTTTTAAACCAAGTGATTTGGTATGGTC